GGAGAGTGCTGTGCATGACAACGTGGCCACTGAAAGACTGGAGCTGTGTGTCTCATGTGTGCTGTAGACACCGCCATGAGCCAGATAAGAAGACTAAAGGATGCTCCATATGTCACGGTGCAAAGAAACGCAGCATGATAGGCAATCGAAATTTAGCCGAGCGCTGTCCCATCTCATGGCTAATCAATGATGACAGCTGCATGTGCAAACCCTGTGGGTTGCCACAGTAACAGACAAGTGGGTTGATAACAGAATATTGAGCAAATGTCTTTAGTTTATTCCACCCTCCTTACCTTCTCCCACAAGACAAATCGATCTGTGTTATGAAGTTATGAGGCACAACTCTAGCATCTGCAGCATGTCTCACATCCTTGTGAAAGTTTAAGAGCTTCACAGAACTCTAAAAATAAAATAAAACAGCTCCTAAATAAGCACTTACGATGATGATGATGATGATGATCTTGAGGGTTTCTGATGGTTTCTTTACATATAAAGATATGCTACCTATGCCTGTGTATGTGCATGCGCATCCATGTGTAACTGGCAAAAGTGTCAGTCTGACAGCCTGCTTTTCCAAACAGAAAAGTTAATAGACATAATAGCAGTTCTTGCAATTCAGAATGGAGGTATTAACACTGGTAACCTGAGTCCTTTGTTACCGTAGTGTTGTCAGTTCTCCTTAGACTGTATCATAAGCCTTGGGAATAAACCTGTAAGCCCCCTACCTCATCTGTCCCAAGATGCACCATCTAACATGAGGCTTATCAATCTGAATATCCATTAGAGTCAGCACTGACACTAGTGTTGATTGAGGCAAAAAACTTAAGCTCCAGACCACTAGGTTCACTGTCTGGATACAAAACTTGTGATAATACAGTTACTGGCTGTCCGATGTTTCCCTTTAAAGTTCTTGGGAATCGAGCTGTTAATAGACACCCACTCCCTCCCCCTTTCCCAGAACATTAGAAATGTTATTCAGTCCCTATGTACCCCTCAGACTCTGAAGATGTGACCAGAGGGTTCCAGACATGAGGTAGTACTAGTAGTATTCCTCATAGTTCTTGGGATTGAGGCAGTAGAGGATTCCCCCACCGAAGGAAAAGATGGTGCCTCCCCAGGCCAGGCCGTAGCCCCAGTTAAATTCATGGTAGATCCTCAAGTTGATACTCTCGATGAACTTGACAGGGTAGAGGACCAAACTGCAGGCCTGGAGTACAACTGGATGTGATATACAGATTTTAGCAAAATTCTACGCATGCATGTAAAGCTGAAAATAAACTGGAATTAACAAAAAGGTTTATGTCTCAAACTGCACAAATTGACAATTAAACGGATAAAAGTTATATTTAAAATCCCACAAAGAAATTGTTCAAGTGGATATAGCAATTCAATCTTTGTAGCAGATAGTTTTGAACAGAAAAACATCGTCGTGTGGATCATTAACATCAGTTAGTAAGTCCTGCTATCACCCAGTCAGTCTAAATGTAGCATATCCAATAAAGCCATGCAAAATTTTATCTTTACAATATAAAAATGATCTGAGTTACAGGTCTTTGATGTGCATTGGTGTTGGTTAAAATTTTCTTTTTATTTATTTACTTTATTATTGTTTTAACGTCCCTCCCTGAGAGGTGGTGGAGGCTTTGTGTGTTTTCTGGGGCTTTTGCCCTTAGAGTCACCCAAGGCAAACTGATCATGGATGAGGGGTAGGACAAATAGTCATTGAGATGACCCCTATGAAAGAAAAAAAAAAGTCAGTGCAGCAGATTATCCTGCCTGGGATCGGGTTACTCCCTCCTGTGTTATGGCTGTTTTCTGTTGTCTTATGAAAACACTAATTGTACACATGCATGATGTTTCGAGTTGGGTATTTACCCATTAAATTTGACTCTCATCTGGAGAACTTTATGGCACCAGCTAATCTTTACTCTTTATCTTTAAAAAATGTAATCCGATCCATTAAATATCAAAAAAGCACCTCACAAAACTTGCCACACGGCGTAACTCGGCTCATAACCGTAGAAGTATGCATCACGTGATGGTGTATTTGTAGCCTCGCTACCAAACCAGCATTTCATCTCCGAGGAAGTGTGTAAGTTCATCTCTGAATGTTTGTAAAGCATTCCCACGTTAAGCTTAACAACGGATATATGGAGCGATTCTCTCCTTCTCCACTGAATAATCAGAACACTGATCAAGTTCGAGTGGGTGTAAAATTGATTTATTTGCAAGTTTTTCCCCCAAAACTTGAAAAAATAAACTGATTTAAAAAGCACAAAATTGGTCATTCTAAATTTTCTTGTATTTAGTCGATATTTAGATTCAATTTTTTTTTTTATGTATGATTGAATCAAACAGTCCAGGCTGCATATTTCAAAAATATGCAAATACGTATACAAGTGGTATAAAATAAACAAGTCTTAAAGAGGTGTTAGTTGTGATCCATTATTCACTGAGAGTCCCTTTATAGTTCACCCAAAACATTCAGCCTCTGTATTGGCTCGTTTAAAAGTGCTGTCCGCATCCCATCATGGAAACACCAGTACGAATAACAAGTAGCCACAGATGATTGATCTGTTTTCCAGGTTCTAAAATTATACATCATATAATGATTTTTGATAATTATTTAATTGAATCATGGATGGTTTAAATGACCAAAACAGTTGTGTTCAAATCCAAAGTGAAGAAATGGTAAAAATGCAGTCTTGCAAAACAACTAATTTGCTTTTACATCTTACAAAACTTAGAAAAAAAGTATCGAAATTTGGTTTGATCAAGTATCATTCCCATCAACACATACTTATAAAGGAATCCTTTGTTACTCACATTGAGGTATTTAAAAAATATAAAAAGCTAGCAATGTCAAATGTCATTGCAAAATATCTTTGATTATCTTTGAGTACAGCACAAGGTCTAGTGGTACTAGAGGTGCTGCAGCTCATCACAGCCAAATACAACAAATAGATAAATCTGTTTAACACTATTCTTGATGTTATTTGCCTACAAAATGTGTGATTTAGAATGTTGTGTTAAATAATCAAAAATACTATATCCCCCTTTGAAAGCGTCATGTAGAAGTGATGCATTTTGACTCTCACCAGCTAAATGTCCTCACAGACATTTTGAACACCTTGGACATCAGTGCCTCTCGTGACCTAAACTTCTGACCGCCAAGTTACACATGAAGTAATAGGAGCTGCACCCAGATGAAGGTAAAGCTGCCCCCACGAAGATTATCATTATAATTAATCAGTCATTTCAATGTCCTGCCTCTGTTGCAAAAGAGTACTTGTTCAACTTCAATTTTGGCTGTATATCAAGATGAACAGGTTTGTAGAGTTGTGCGACGAGACACAACGCTACAACACACACATCCATAAAGATGTCATATTCCAGTGATTTCATGAGCACTCATTTTTCATTAGTGCTTTGACTGCATTCATAATTATAACAAGTTGCACAGACTCTACAAATCTGTGAACCATCTCTGAACGAATTACACGTTAGTGCTCTCTCCCATTTCTCTGGTACCCACAGTAAGATCTTAAAAAAAATGTCTGACAAGCAGCAAATCTAGCGTTGCAAAATTAAGCATTTCATGCCCCAAAATTGAAATTTTCCAATTATTCCTGGAGGTATGTATAGGTATGTACAATAGGTAGGTATATACATCAGTATTCTTGTGTATACTGACCTGCAGAAAAGAGCATGAAGGCAACAGGCGCGTAGAACCGCCGTCTCGTGCCAATGCACACAGCAACCAGAGCAACCAAGAATGACATCAGCACCAGGGCTCCACCCCCTACCAACAGTGCCAGCGTAGCAACCTGCCAGTCTGTAAGGGCAAGGTGGACAAGAAAAGGAGAGAGCGTAAGATGAAAGTAAGTAAAAGAACAGAAAATGCATTCACTGTGCGAGAGTAAAACTATGACCATGCTGTTTATATTGGGGGAAAAAAACAATCACAAGTAAATAACTAATGTAAAACTAACACAAAAGCAGTGAGTACAGTACACTGAGAAGGAGGTAAGCATAAGAGAAAATGGAACTACGACAACGAGGAAAGGACTAGGAGATGAAAGAAAGGATACTGGGGAAGGACTTTTTATATTATTATACTAATATACAACTATTTTACTATGAAGGTGTCCAAGAATGAGACTAATAGAAAAGAATAACGGAGAGCCGGAAGAGAAGATGGAACTGGAAAACCGATACAGGAAGAAGGAAACAAAGCAGAAATTAGTATAACGTTACAAGGACAGAGGGCAAAATGAAAAAGGATGGGAAAAGAGGATAGTGAAAGGAAAAGTGGAGGTGGAATGGGGAGGACCAGGAGATGAGTACAGTGCAAAGGACCGAGAGGTGGTGAACAATATGAAGACAGAGAGTGCACTTAGTATGTCTAGGCCCACAAAAAGCCCGGACTAAAAAGCTTTGCTGGCAGGTTATCAAAAATCTTCCCGTATTTATATGTTGTGGCTTGAACGACACTGAAATAATTCCCACACATGCACACACCATATCACTATTATAAACAACACATTATCTTAAACTGATGATTATATTTCTTCCTGCTCCACTTCAGACTTAATGATTGTCATTTCATTTAGATTCTGTTTATATTATTTCTTTTTCTTTTTTCCAGACACCGTGGGAGGCATATTTAAACTGGCCTCTATTAAAGCAGCACAAACTATGAATAAGTAAGTAAAACATCTGCAAAAGAAAGGTAAGCATTTTCATTTGGTTGTAAGTTAACCACACTAAGTAAACTACCAGTTTAAAAAAAATACTTATGAAAATAAACAATGGGTCTGGTTGTAGCCAGTAACCTTGTGCAAAAATAAACTTGAAACATAGATTTTATAATGTTTTCAGTTTTTTACCAGCTTTAAAAATGGTTATTAGACTGGGGGTCTTCCCCAATAGAGCCAGATTTACTAAACAGGGCAAACATAGCAAGGGAGTGCAACACCCAAAATAGTGCTATTAAGATTCAAGATATGCCTCATTGTTTTCATAATGGGGTTCAAAGTCAACGTCGTCATCAGTCTGTGAAATTTCTGCAACAGAAGCCACAGTATATTTAAAGGAACCTGACACAGAAAATGAAGGGAAGTTTTGTTGGTGTTGGTATTGCGTGACTTCTTTTGGTCGGATGTTCCAGGTCATCGGAGTTTACAAAGCAAATGCAGAATTAGGTGTAATAACTGCAATAACTGCCACCATATCATTCTCTTCGCTTTATTTTACACGTTGAAAAAGGAACTACCAAAAATGTATATGCAATGTATATGGAAATAAAACATGAGAAAAAGGAGAAAGAGGGAGGAAAACAAAATAGAATGGGACAATGTGAAAACAGAAAAAGGCTGACGGATCTTGGTGACAACTGTAATTCAGTTTAAAGCAAAAAATAAATATAATATTTATTTTCAGCTTGCAGGATATACAGTGTCATTTTCTGAACACTTACTCGGAGAGCATGTAACACAAGTTTATTATTGCTGTACTGACAGGATTGTACCATCTACAACTGTAAAAGGTTGATTAAAGAAACGCACTTCCAACACCAAATCCAGTGAGTAAATACGGCTGATACAAGGTTATTTTTAATGTTTAAATATCATATCTTTTATATACTTCAGATTGTTTTTATATAGTTCTTGATTAAACAGACTGATTTTAGCACACTTACAGTGCATAATTACATAAATTGTAAATGTACAAATTGTTTTCCATATGTACATAATTTAATGTCCTAAAAATTGGACTGGACAATTCTCATGTTTTTTTGTTTTTATCATAAATAAGCCCAACCAATATTACATATTTATGTCTCTAAAAGAATGCAACAAACATAAAACCTAAAAAATAAAATGTGTTTTTAAATTTAAAAACAGAAAGCACATTTAATGAAATTAAGACTAGACTATTGTTAGCAGTTTGTTAAAAAGTGGGAAAATGCACATATAGAGATAGATATAAAGATATATGCATGTTATATGTGTGCCAGCTGGTTAACCAGTGGGCCACTCTGAAAGCAACTTTGTACCTGTTAGCATTAACGGAGGTGGGATTTGAGCGCATTGGCATGGACCTAATTGGGCCAGTTCACTGGAGTACATGGGGATATAACTTCACCCAGTATGCCAGATTACCAGTCCAGCCCTGAATACATTTTCCTGGTGGACCAAGGCACTTTTGGGTTAATGGGTCGCCTGTGTATCAGCTGTACAAGCACTGACAGCAGGCAATTCATTAATTTTCATTACTGGCACTGAATTGCCCAGTCAGATCACTTAATTCAATTGGTCCCTCCCTTACCTTTGATGAGTGCTCATGCACTTTGTAAAAAACGTTTAGTGTGCAAGAAGCTGGAGAGCTGAGAGAAAACATGCTAGCTGAGAGAAAACAAGGTGCCTGCTACACCGTGAACAGTAGTACCAGCAACAACTAGTAACCATGCCTCATTGTCACAGTAGCCTGCTGCTGCTAGCACTAGGTGTGGAGAAGTGAAGAAAAGACGGAGGAAGATGAAATTTACATGGTAAGATAATAGTAAATAATTGAGAATAAATGTTTACTTTGGCTATGAGCTTCTGCTAATACCTAAAGTGTAGTTCTTAATTATTGCCCCATACTGCAGTGCAAATAAAAAGTAACTGAACAACAACAGTACAGACATAATTAAAACCTGTTTCAATATCAATAGTCAAACAAATGAATATATACATAATATGTGTACATGATAGCAATAACGGTGGGACGCTTGAACCATTTGCTCTTGTACGTCAGCATCCATCACCAGCAGACTGATGAGATGGTGAAGCCTGAGTAAAACATCTGAGAGCAGAGCTACACACATTAGGAAGGTTATCACGTGAAAATCTTCTCCAGGTCCAGAAAAGTTAGCAGCAACTATACAAAAGAGGGGATAAACTCAGACCATTTTCACAGGGAGATAAAGTGCCTTGTGAACCTTCGTGGTTACATGGCGAGGGGAGGATGTTGGCTATGAAGGGGTGGAGCCACACAAGTATTTCACCTCAGCCTCCTTAAAAACATGGAGAGAGGTGGAATCCGTTCCTCTGGTGAGCTTAGCAAAGGTTTAAGATGACCTGGGGACTGAAGTGTCAAATTCAACTATTTCATCCTTTCTTCTTTGTGATGACCATCTAGGGCCAGTAGGCTAGGCTGGATGGCTCTCCAATGTAAAGTCAGTTGATGGGGGTATGTGGTGGGGGTGTGGTTGGTGGCTCAGCTGAAGGGGAGGGGTGGTGCAACAGGATCAGGGGTAGTGCCAGGGGAGGCTGGCCAGCGCAGTTGCCACTGATTGTTGAATCATGCCTCTACTATTTCATCAGCGCGCTGGGAAAGAGAGGAGAGTTGCACGGGAGCAATTGCAGTGAGCTGGGCAGATGAGAGAAAGAGTGGCTGCAACAGCTAGAAATAAGCAATATAAAGATTCACAGTTAATCACTGCTATGACCATCGTGTGTGTTGTGCTGGGTCAAACAGAAGCCAGACGTGTTACACCCCTCTTCAACAACTTGGTGCTATCTGGAAGATTTAAAAGGCATTTAGGAAGGACTCTTCTGGCCTGAACACCCTTCGGAAAAAACACAGGTAAGAAACACAACCAGTAAAAATTTTCACTCATTAGGGTATATATTGTTTTTCCTGCCAATTAAGGATAAACATCACACAAACCTTCACAGACACATCACACAAATGTTAAAATAATATTTTTCTGTTGGCTTAAACAAACTTACCATACTAATAAGGATTTCTGTTGCTAGATAGACCTTCACCAGTACCAGCTTTGAGACAGCCAACAAGGAAAAAACCCACGAGACAAATTATAGTTTCTGTAAAGGACCAAATATTCATGGTAATTTACATATTCACTGTTTACATATTTACAAAAAAAGACAGTTGTTGGAATTAGCATATTCACTGCCTTCTTGTTGCCTCCATTTACAACACACAGCCACACATCACACACACAACACACACACACACACACACACACAACACACACACACACACACACACACACACACACACACACTACAGCTTTTGCTATAAAACTCTGCGGTTTTATCTTTTAAACCGATACAATATGCAGAGCCTTTCTGTTTCTCTTGCACTGCACAGTACACCACAGCACCAGAAAACCCTTTTTCAGAATGCATCAATAACACTGTAAAACATATACTGTAGGGAACTGTAGAAATTCACTAATTCCCCATTCACACACAAGCAAATACTTGTTGCAAGCTTAAGTAATACCACACCTATCTTTCACATTTTTCTTTTTGCTCTTTAGTGTAAAGCACTAATATTTTTGTATCAAAATTGCAATTATGGTAGACTTTATGTTAGTGTAAGACATGCAGAGACATCATTATGAGTCAATCACGATGTCATAAGTCACTGGACACTGTGAACATCCACGGTCACCACTTCATGCATAATGGACCTTCCATGTGTATGGACATGTGCAGGTATATATGTATGTATATGTATACATATGTATATTTAGTGTGTACATGTCTATAAATAGGAATAGTAGTGGTACAATAGTTATATCAAGCTATATAGTTTATGTCTTCCATATTTCCAACCATATCCATAATCACATACTGTGTATGCTACCATTGTATATAGTGTATTATCTTACTTTTTTTCATTGATTGTACTTATTGTATTTTTGTATTTCCTTCTGATATCTGTACCTGAGCTGAGGTGACGCAAAAATTTCCCCGTTGTGGGATCAATAAAGTCTTATCTTATCTTATCTTAATGTGAGAGGTTACTTGATGTGAAAACTTGCAGAATGTAATGGAAGAACAATGGGAATAAATTCACTTGTATGTTCTTCTTAAAGGCAAACACACTGGTGGCTGCCAGTGCTACCCCTCAGCCTCCTAGTAGATGCATGAT